ATAGCACGCCCCGATATTTCCTCGAGCTACTGAAGGAAAATGGACTGGCAGTAGCGAGGAAACAAACCGCCATTGTCACAGATCGCTGACCGTTCGCGCAAAATCCACGATAATCTTTTTCAAGCGGATCGTTCGTGAATCAAGCATGCTCGGCTGATCCTTTTCACCCCGCTCGTTTGTCTTGTTTCGAACTGACCATCGAGTATCGATGTTCGAAGCAATTTAAAAATTTCAGACTTAATTGATTTACGACTTCGAGAATCGCGAAGCTTAGATATTGGCGGAAAATCATTATTTTTTTTCGTGGTAATTGTTAAAAACAAAACGAGAAGCATTTCAGCCCGATAACGCGAAACGTTCGACAGATGCGGCTCCACGTTTTTTCAATTCCGCGGATCGCCGTGCGAAATTATGCGAATTGAACGGTATTTGCATAAAACCGCTGCCGGAATAGAAATTTCTGTCGGTCTCCTGTTGAATATTTAAAAATCCCGAACGACCCGCCGTTGTTATCAATCGATGAAATTTTCATTTTATAAAATTCCCTGCCAACTAATGACACGGAATCTTTCTCGAACTTAATTCCGACGGTGTCCCGGAGAAATTACGATTCTTTTCACTGTCCAAAAGCCATTCATCCATCTCGGTATCTGCTAATCCGAATGCCACTAGGAAAAGATTTATTTTTCTCGATAACTCCTGCTTTTACGTCATAAACGTAGCTTCTACGTGCTTCCCGGCATCGTTTATTGAGATTTACACCGACATTGTTTTCAACAGGATGTACCAAGCTGAACGGAAGATACGTGTTACGATCAGCGGGGTTTTAACCCATTTGTAAAATTGCAAAAGGTGATAGATTTGAAATTTAAAGCAAAGGCATCGTTTATCGTCTTCCAAATGAATTTCTTCATGAAAATTTATTCGACATTCATAAACCTATTTGTTAGATCAAAGAAGAATCATTTTCGATCGTTAACGAAGTGTCTTTCCTTTGATGATCTCTAAAGAGACTTGGTAAACTTAACGAAGTGTAAAAAGTGATCAGAAATTGACGATTCTATAAAATTTCCGATAATTGAATTTCTTTATGGTTTCGATCCTTTCTTTTTACAAATAGAAGAGAGGAATGGAACCATAGAGATATCCTTTACAACCAGAGATAAACTTTCTCCATGAATTTCATTCTGCGATCAGGAGGAAACCAGCGGGCACCGATGGAACGTTAAGTTTAATTGTAAAGAACCATGATCCGTACTAATCTCGTTCCACGTATTTTACGTTGACGCGATCGCGAATTTATCGCCGGTGCGATTTTAATTGGCTGAAACGGGTCCCCGGCCTAGGATCCTCGGTGAAAAAAGGAGAAAAACGGTCTGCAGAATTTCCCGTTCTACCACGAAACTTATATCGATCCGTCGACCATGCCCATCTCGCGGTACGTTCAGTAACGTAGCAACCGAATGCGCGGACCATTTCCTTCGAATTCAATTTCTTTGAAAAATTATTTCCACTTCGAGAACACCCATAGACATTTCAAGTTACTTCAATTTATTTATTTAGACAGTAATTGTTCCCCGGACGATTCTCATAAAATTTTTCTAACAGGATAAAAAATGGCGAGTTTAAATCAAATTTAATCAAATTTTAATATCGAACTGGGTATTGTGAAAATTTATTGAAGAAGAAATTCATTAAATAGAGACAAAGGCTGTTCTATGCATAGTAGTAATTTTCATTGGAACACGTACCAGCGAGAATTTCTATAAATCCAACGAGATACTGCAATGTTAGCCGAGCAAAGAACAGTTTCCACGCCACTGGAAACGTTCCACCCTTCGGCTCCTCCCCAAGAGTCACGCTGAATGGCAAACTAAATCTCAAGGTTTAAGAAGAGATACATGCGTCCTTCATCCCCCTTTACCCCTTAACTTTCCCAACTTCGATACGCGTTCCTCCTTTATTCCAAGCGCAAGGGTGCATCGACCCTGGAACGGAGAGGGTGCCCACCCCGAATCCAACATTTCGACAGTTTTATTTTTAATCCCGACGGAATATCGCGCTCGGGGGAACGCGGAATAATTCGTTGGATTGCTTTAGCGGCGCCGTAAAGAATGCGAGTTTCGACCATTTTCCTTCAGTGTCTTCCTTTAAATAATTCGAAAGCTTTCTTTGCTCGACTCGGATGGAATTCGACGAATTATTCCGCAAATTTTGTTCTCATTAAATTAAATTCTGTGAATTGTTTTATTAAAATTGAAATTTGAAGAATTCCTAATTACCCTATATTTATTGCCATTTTTCTTAGGGAAGTCTGATTCATAAAAATACTTAAAAAAAATTTCGAAACCGTGACGAAACGAATGGTTAGATACATTGACAATTTCAGCGATATGAATCGGTGATTTAAACCGGCGCTGAAATAACAAATGGAAAACGTCGAGACGAGATACAGTACGGAGGTGAGAAATTCAATGTCCCTGGTCGGGATCTGCGAAGAGGACAATGTACATTTTTTTTTTTCTCTTTATGGTGTTCGACGTCGGTCGAGTAGACAAGCGCTTAAAAGGGACGTCAACTTTCAAGATTTACGCGGCGTCTGGTCGCAAGAACCGACACAAGACCGGTGGAAAAAAGCATGATTAATCGAGAGATCCGAAAGTTCTTTGGCGCGACTTTCGCGTTTCGCAGCCGTTCCTCTTTCATCCGGCTACGAGATTTCTTGCGTTTGACGGTTATGGGGTTTGCTACGATATTACCCCGCCACTATTCCCCTTTACTTCCCAAAGTTTTTACGATATCAAGTATATTGAATTACTTCTTCCACTATTAGGGAGTTTGTTGAGTCTGCGTAGCCGAAATAAATGGTAAAACTGAACTTCTGTTGAGAAATTTTCCTTTTTTTCAAGATCCAGTGGTTATAAATTAAACGCGGTCGTTTAGATTGTTTTATTTTATCAAAATTTTATAAATATACTTGATTTTATCACACTTTGATCGTCGCATAGTTCATAAAATAAATTCTTAGACGACGGACCATGGAGAGAGTCGCAGTTTTAATTCAAGGTTTTCCCAATTTTACATAGAGTTTCATTTAGGGTCAACTTAAAATCACGAATATTAATTAATTAATTAAATGATGTTCATTAGTAGGAATAAAATATAAAAAATTTCAGTTGTAAATTGAATTCGCGTCTGGAAAATTTGCCCAACGTAGGATATTAAGTTTAAAAACCATTAGGAACGCATTAGAAAGTCCGCGGAAGACTTGCGGTGGTCAGAATTATTCCTCCGCAAGCAAACTTCTTGTCAGCAAGCCAACGCGGACATATTCAGTAGTCCATCCGACTTGAATCAGCCAGTGGAAGTTGCAAAGAAGCAGCATTAACATAAAATGAATCTTTCAGTCCCGAAAGCGTCTAGTGAAAAGTTCTTTCAGCAACAGGACCGGTGTCTCTCGTCACGGTTCCCGACCGTCTCCTTCTATGGTGTTCGTAATTACGTGACGTCCACTTAAAACCAGCGACGTTTCTCCAAGAACAAAGCTCGAGATATTCACGGAGACGTTGAAAACGTCAGGCCTTGTGCATTCGCCACGAAATTATTTCCCTGTCCACGCATTGTTCTCGTTGTCCCGTACGAATCCTGAACACGGTGACTCTCGGGAACGACCACTTCCGGGTTCTGCCTCGGGCCAATTTTCGTACCGTTGCGACAAACGGCACGCGTTTTCGTCGTTTGCAAAAAATTCCAAAGGTAGACGAGATTTTTCGTTCAATTTTATTTCATTTCGTATTCAACAGTTATCATCTGGAAAGGCGATAAGTTTTGTCAGCTTGCGGGGAACGATTCGTTTACACCTGTTTTCCCGCCTCGTATATTTCGTCGGGCTGGATAAAAAACTGGGGTCGTTTCGGTTTATTTCGTGTTACACGCGAGCAACCTCAATTCCCAGCAAACGTTCATTCATCCACGAAGCGATCCGCTGCGAAGCACGCGCACCTGTCGCTGACTCGAGCGTAGTCGCAGCATATTAAGATTCAAAACGTGCTTTTCCCACTGATTTTCCATATTCTGACCGGCTGTCGGGAACAGCGTTTTCCCAACAGAGAATTTATTGAAAGCCCGTTCTCTTTCTGCTCGCGGAAGCAATTCGGTTCGATATTGGGCCGCGATTTTACGCCCGGTCACTCGCGCCATTGTTTGCCTTCATTAAAATAAGATTTTTACACCTGTCGTTAAGATTCTCTTTCGTTGCTGGATTCGTTTCTTTTTCCCAGTGTTCAGAAAATTTTTCGATCTTTTAGCGATAGATAAAGTTGAAAGTGTGCAACGATAAAATTATTTAAGACAATTCAGGATGAAGCGAGAAAGAGGAAATTCATGGTAGAAAGGAAACCGAGTAAGCGACTTATAATAAAAGAGGTCCTGCGAATATAGCGCAACAAGTGCAGTTGCAGCAACGACAGCTGCAGCTGCAGTCGCGCGTATTATATTAGAAATCCAACCGCATTACCTCGTTGAGTTTATTCCTCGGGAACACTGTTTCCCCAGCATCCAATGTAGCCTTTAGAACGTGCACTTTTCCTGCTCACTTTCATTGTTTATTCCGTGGATTTTCTTATCTCTTATCTTGGTCGTCGTCTCGCACTTCGACGCGCCACTGAAGTTTTTCTAACACAGGTATTGAAATTTTATCCTTTGAAACATCACGTGAGAAAAGTAATTTTTGTTAAATTAAGAAATTTCAATATTTTTAACAAATAAAAATTCCAGATTTCTAAGTGAAAAAATTTCAGAAGTTATTTGAAATCCTATCAGTTAGAGGTAGCTTTCAGATAGTTTTGCAGCTTAATAATCAAGAGATTAATTAACGACACGCAAAAGGCAATATCGTTGATCTCACATTGAAGTCGCCTTCTAACGAGGGTGAAGGGTGGACGAAGAAAAAAAAATATCTTGGCAACATAAATCAGGGTGGACATTAATTTTGTTTTCAGCGCCGATGGCAACTACGAGGTGACCATTATGACCAAGGCGATTTTGCACCATACGGGAAAGGTCGTGTGGAAACCGCCGGCTATCTATAAATCATTCTGCGAGATCAACGTGGAGTACTTTCCCTTTGACGAGCAGACTTGCTTCATGAAGTTTGGTTCGTGGACTTACGACGGGTACACGGTGAGTAATAAGATTCGACCGACAATTCAGCCACCTTTACGGGGCGATTAATCATCGTCAAGAAATTTTAGCCATCTTTGATAACGAAGACACGACCAGGGTGTCGTGTTTTAACTTAAGAAACTCAATTATTCGACAATTTCAACTTCTCCAGTGTTGGATTAATGGAAGGTTTGAAGGGGGCTACAGTCTTGGGGTTTTTGAAAAAAATTCTGAAAATATTTCTTTTACCAGCGCCCTTTTATTTAGAATAAATTTCAGCTTTTAAACTAAAGTAGCTTTATAATCTCAAGCTTCAGAAATTTTAATTCCTTCCTGAATTCCCCAGGAGAAGTTGAATTGAATGAAAGAAAAATAAAAAGAAAAATTTCTTCACAAACGACGGGGCTGTGGAAAACACTATTTAGAAAAAAGCTATTCCCAAAACGGTCGTCCATCTTCGACGTTCGCTCTTCCTCTTGTATCCCGATAAGAGGAGCCTTTTTTAAAGGCACCGACTTATCATCGAACGTATAAGTCACTTTACAAAAATGTAACGCTTCTGACGATAAGCGAAAATCACCGGAACATCGACGTTCCATTTATATCTGCATCCCTCTCGTGGCGATGGTTTCGTTACGTTTTTCCCTCCTGTTGTTTCTTTCTTTTTTTTACCCTTTGTTCCGTACAGGATTTTATTTTTGTAGACGAGTACGTTACGACACGTAGTTCGCTATTCGTAAAAATTCAACGAGCCATCGAAATTCTGCACCGTACTGTATCGTTTCCCGCTTTGAATCGAATTCGCCATTTAGTTTTATCAGCGGATATCTTTTACCTTTCGAATTTGCATATTGCGACCAGTTTGATAGAATAACACGCCGTTTAAAATTATCCTTTCAGAATTTTCTGTTGCTATTTTTCTATGAAAAATGGATGGCGTGTAAAGGGGTTGTTTTTATGGCTACTGGATAAATCGTAAATAATGATAAGGATTATTTTTTTTTTATCCTCTTTGAATTTCACTCGAAAACAACGTTTTATCTAGCGACATCGAGTCGAGGACAAAGTATGATTGGATGTAGGGTGACTGGTCGAAGAATTTTTTATCCGAAAGAAACGATGGCGAAGGTGAACGTGACCGGTTTTTATAACTCGATCGATCTCTTAAGGAATACTTTATTAGACCGTAAGTGGACCTGGATAGAAATATGACCGCGCTGGTAATGCAATCAGAGCCCCAAGGAATACCTAAATCGCGACTGAACCTCTGGCAAAATGTCATTGGTTCCGTGACGTCATCGGTTGCAAATGTTCGGAATTGCAAATGGAAATATCCTCCAAAAGGAGACAAGTTTCCAAGAAGGTAACATACTTTCCAGTATCGTATAAAGTGTTGCATCCGCAGTCCTGAAAGATCAATCGATAATAATTTATCGAACGGACTAATTAATTTCTGTATCGACGTAGCGAGTGTCCTTTAGAAGACTAATGAATAAATTTCCGTGAATTAAAAAATTCCCATTAAACCGAGTCTCTTAGATTCTCTATTAAATCACACGCTCGCGTCAACGCGGAAAAATGTTACCTGAACTTTCCACGTCGCGTCTGAACTATTAATTACGTTAGCAGTTACGTTGACAGTTCTATTCCCCGGTGTTTTTCTTTCATTTTGCCTTGCCCCGACTCGCCGACGAATCCCCGGAGATTCTTGGATTCTAAAGCGTTCGAACATTGTCTGCTTCCCAGCGAGGAAATAATTTATACAGCTGCAGAACGGTAAATCTTCGATGAATCACTTAGTTGGTCCGTGTTTTTTTCTTCTAAATTATCAATATCATTCTTATATTATATATTCTTATTTTGGAAGGAAAAATAAGTTACTCTGAAAGCTTTGAGAATTTGTTGTTTCATAATTGGTTCTCTTATTACACTTTCAACCCCTTTGAAGGGCAAAATTTAAGTGCCTTCTTTCATTAATTTCATCTCATTTTTCGGTGACGTACAGTATCGAGCAAGGCATCGAAGGAGGAGATCTCAAAATCATAATTTTGATTATATTAATATTTAAAAGTGATTTAGAAACGAAATAGTATAACTTTTAGTTATAAAATTTAGTGTATATTTGAGGAATATTATTAATGAAATAAATATCAATTCAAATTTTCGCGCGTAAATGTTTGAACGCAAGTGGTGGTCCGCCACAGGTCTATATATTAGGGGCCTCCACCCACTCAGTCTCAGTCTGCGCGCAGCCGCCTAGGGGGGCGGATGCGAGTCCAGGATTTTCCATACTCGGAACTGTACATCAACTTCACTCGTTATCCTTATCATCGTCATTTGAAATCTTCGTAAACTTGTCTAGAACGATGGAAAAGCATCTAAAGTTAGAAGCTTGCAAGTTTCAAGAAGCTTTAGAACAATAGATCGTCAAATGTCACGATTGAAATAGAATCCATTTTGTGCGAGCACTCGATGAGTAGAAGAAAGTTCACGTAGAGAAAGCGGAGCTCGCTTTATGACTAGCGTTTATCTGTTTCGTGCGATCAACCGTTTTCTGTCTCGCGGATGAAGCGCGTTACCATTGAATCCGAGAGAAACCGACCCTTTCATCGATTCTATTAACACACTTGTTTTGTTCAAAGGGAGTATCGAGAAGTTGCTGAAAAATCGTGTAGAATTATGTTCCGCTATGTTGAAAGGACTGTTCTCGTTTCGACGAAAGGGTAAAACGATTTTCAATGAAACGTTACGATTTATCGATTACCATTGGCAGCTATCAGACTTCTTTCCCGTTGCTGTTCCATCGAGGAATATCCTTGGAATTTCGTGGATCCCTCGATACAGGAGCAACGTGCTAACAGACGTCAATAAAATGCCACGAATCGTCGATTCCATTTGTTGATGCCTGCTCGAAGAACTCTTTCTTTAGGAATTTTCTCAACTTTGATAAGCTCAGCTGAAATCCTCGACAGACAGACACATCGAGCCAATCTTCTTTGCTCTTTCTTCAGGAACTCTGTCAATTAAATGTTGCTGTACTTTCACATAGAGTAAACGTTCTTTCCTTAATCTTTGAACAACGGAGCTTGGGTCAATTGCGACTCCAACTTACAAAAAACAAGGCTGTTAATTTAAAATAAAATTTAGAAAGTGATTATAATATAAAATACGGTATGGGATTTTAATCGGGCCTCTCTCCATGGTCCGCCCTCGGAGGATTAACATTTGCAAGCTTATAGTCTCTGATAATTAGATAATTTACAGGGGATTTGTAACTGAGGATTAATAATTACGATTGAATTAGTATTTAATAGGCTGAAATGTCACAAAGGGAATAATTCCATAACAATAGGGGATGATGGTAGTTCAGAGCTTGTCGAAATCCTTTTCGTCGCCTGTTACCCATGACCAACCCACCTTCCTCTGCGGACGGCTAGATTTGTCCCTCACCGACAAATCCACCTGTCCGTGGATTTCACCAGTGAACACACCGTTGCGGGAATAAATCCCGCGTGTGAAACGATAAACCATTCCTGTGGCTGTGAACGACCATCACCAGCTGTTCACTGACCATCCTTTCAAACGGGAATTTTACACCTTTCGATTTTACTAGCTTTATCGGTATCGCAAAATTTTCTTTATTTCTCGACCAACAACAGATTGTTATTTGTTGTACAATTTATTTCGGAATGAAAAGGGGAAAGAACAGAGGGGCGTGGTTAACAGGCAGCTATCGAAAGATCTTAAAAGTGGTCCAAAGGGGATTAAGGGGCATTCTGATAGGAAGTTCGATGGTAGAAAGATTTGGCTCCACTCTCGAGACTTTATTCTCTTTCCCATATTCGACGTCTTCCAGAGGATCCGCCACCTATCTTAGCACCCATTAGAGCTATCCAATTTCTTTCCTTCTTTTCTTCCCTTGATCCCTGCTTCCTCCTTTCTTTAAACAATTGGATCCGTTGTGGCAAAAAGGAAAATAGAAAGAGCAGGATATTCTGCATCCTGTTTGACAGGAATCTTATTATGCCTTCAGAGTTGCATTTAGGTGTCATGGAAAAAGAAATATATACCTTTATTCTATTTAAATATACCACGGTGGATAGGATTATTCTAATGGAAAATGTGGTAGATCGTTAGAGGTCCCTGAAGCACAGTTGCAAGTTACTCGTTGTTAAAAAAAAAAAAGAGAAAAAGAAAATGGTGATTATTCTCGTCAGGAGTTGTCCTTCGTAGCCATTTTATTTTTGGCTGAAGAATCCCTCATTTCCCAGTTACACGACGTCTTATGAAATACCCCTTATTATTCATCGCCCCTCTACCTTTGTGTCTGTTTAACTCTCAGGCACGTACACGCGCACGGATATACGTAACCTCTGTCAAATGGCTGCTTTCGAGTAATGCTCCTTATCTCGGACCTCAATTACACGGTACACAGGGCTGTGGTAATCTTTAAACGAACCGACTATCGTTGCCGTTTGTGCACGAATTTACTGCAGTGCTCTCGTTACCGTTCAGCGTTATTGCCAATGGTCCTGGTCAAAAGTGTCGATTTTCTATTATCCGTAATAAAACTACAAAGACCGAGGGGAAGAGTCGAAACCACCAGTTAGGAAATATTAATTATCCCTGTGCTTCGAAACTAGTAATCCTTCGAGGTGGAATGACTATACCAATATAATGGGTAAATTTAAGTTTAACACTCTTGAGGACAGAGAAATTATTGCAGAGTTGAATTACTGGAGCTAACAAAATTTCATGTACCATCTCGCACACCTTCTATTGTTTTATTGTTATTCAATTCTCTTGTATACAAAGAAGTCTTATTCCCATAAAAGAAAGGGATTTTATCGGGGCTGTATTCTAATATCGTTCCGGATGTTTGTTCGCAGGTGGACTTAAGACACCTGGCCCAGACGGAGGACTCGAACCGGATCGAGGTCGGGATCGACCTGACCGACTACTACATTTCCGTCGAGTGGGACATCATAAAAGTGCCTGCCGTGAGGAACGAGGCGTTCTACATATGCTGCGAGGAGCCCTATCCAGATATCGTGTTCAATATCACCCTGCGCCGCAAGACCCTCTTCTACACGGTCAATCTGATCATACCGTGCGTGGGCATATCTTTCCTCTCGGTGCTGGTGTTCTACCTTCCTAGCGACAGCGGTGAGAAAGTCTCGCTGTCGATCTCGATACTGTTGTCGTTGACGGTGTTTTTCCTACTGTTGGCCGAGATCATACCGCCCACGTCGTTAACGGTGCCGTTGCTCGGCAAGTATCTATTGTTCACGATGGTGCTTGTCACCCTGTCCGTGGTGGTGACGATAGCCGTGTTGAACGTGAACTTTCGTTCGCCCGTCACCCATCGTATGGCCAAATGGGTGAGGGTTGTTTTCATACAAGTGTTGCCGCGATTCCTTCTGATCGAGAGGCCGAACAAGGACGACGACGAGGAGGAGGATGATGATGAGGGGGTAAGGAACGGAGTCGGTGTCGCCGGTATGAACGTCGACGGTGAACAGGTTGACGACGACGACGACGACGACGACGTGGAAGCGAGCAACGGGAAACCGGCCGAGGGCATGCTCACCGATGTGTTCCATGTACCAGAGACTGATAAGTACGACACGTATTACGGTAAAAGGTTCAGCGAGGAATACGAGATACCAACGCACGGGTTGCCACCGACCGCCACCAGGTACGATCTAGGTGCGGGCGGCACCGTGGGCACCGTAGCACCATGCTTCGAGGAGCCGCTACCCTCGCTCCCACTGCCGGGGGCTGACGACGACCTTTTCGGCCCGGCCAGCCCCGCTTATGTTCACGAGGACGTCAGCCCCACCTTCGAGAAGCCGTTGGTTCGCGAGATCGAGAAGACCATCGACGACGCTAGGTTCATCGCTCAGCACGCTAAGAACAAGGACAAGTTCGAAAGTGTGAGTAATTGTTTCATTAATTCTAGCTCGTTCATTTTTCTTAAGTATCCAGGCAAAATGGCACTGCCCTTTAATTCTCGAACAGCGGACCCCGGGTCAATGGTGATCCAAATTTACAAATCTTAGGGTGAAAAGTGGAGAAGCTAAGTTCAATTATATTTTCACCCGCGTACAGTGGAAGAATGTTGGGCCTCTCTCTAAGGTCCGCCATTCGAGGGTTGATACATTGACTGCCACAGTAGAAAAGGTAATACATAGTCAGACACATTGAAAGTATAATTATTAAGGATACGATTAATTAATTTTTCAATTTCTTATTAATTATTTGATAATGAAAAATGTGAACCTGATGACCATCATGGCAGTCAATGTTTAAGCGACTATCGTGAATATTTTCTCAAGTACTTTTCGAGATTTTTGTTCGAACAAATCGGTAAATTTCCGAAGTCAGCTTCCGGCACTAATCTCCGAATCTCGTGACAAGAAAGCGTATAAATCGTGCGACGTTCGACGAACGGAACCGAAGCTATTAACGGCAATCGGATCCTGAGGTGTTTCCGGCTGATTAATACGATCCGATACTACTGCTATCCTATCAGGTCTCGTATCATCGCTCCTACGGTTTATAATTCGACCTGGCTGACCGGATCTCACCTCACGATTCCCTTTGATTTCCACGCTCCATTACCGATCCCCTCACGTGACTCACTCGCAAAGATTAAAAAAAAAATAAAAAAGGAGTATCCTTGGAACGCGTTGATCAGTTTCCACGTTCTCGATGCTTTTCCGTAACAGCGCAAACGCGCTTTTATCATTTCCCGCTCGTTTCATTCCACTTTCCAAATGGGATATCGATTTTTCCAGAGATTTCCGCTACGAACAAGAAATCAGAACGCATCGAACCGCGTTCTCTGTGTACAGGATTAGCTACGGCAGCAGAACATAGCAGGGTATATCGCGTTAATTCGAAAGCTGGCATCCGTGTCCTGGACAGGGATCGCGTCAAGTAGCCGTTCGACAAATTACAGGATTCGAATCTCGTGTTTCGAGAATCAATCGCATTTCAGAGAAGCTGCATAACGGATCGAGCAGTCACCTTCCTTTCGATGGCTCTCGATTCGGCGAGCATCGAATTCCAATGGACCCATGGTACAACACAGCTTTCCATCTCAAGATTCCTTTACTCGACGAGCGAGGTTTTAATTAAAATCTTGATGCCCGGTCGAATTAGCCGAAGAACCGTCTGGCCGCGATACAAAAGAACGACGAGTTCTTTGAAGCCCTGGCTGGTCTGGTTAGCGTATTATTATTACAGCAAACTCCTTTACCGTCGTCGACTACCTTCTAGTGTCCTGGCGTGAATAGGCCAACTAACCGGCTACATTCTACGCTTTCACTTCGAGCGAACATCCAACACGTTGTAGCTGAATTTCGCGAGAGAAGCAGCCTCGATAAGCCGGCTGAAAGTCGTTCGCGATCGTTTCCCATCAATCTTCCAACACGCGACACCTTCTACACCATAATACGTGCACCATCTTGACAGCCAGCCGACTCAGGGAACAAGAAGGGAATCTCGGTCTGACTTATCGTCGAGTTTTCTACTGCAGGGAAATAAAGTAATGCTGTTTCTGTATAATGATTTATTTATTAATTTTATGTACTGGAATATAAATACACGTGTATTAATTATTGACATTTATTTATACAAAATTTGTAACTGTCTGACTTATCATTGACCTGTTTCATTTAAAATAAGGAAAAGTATCTCTAAGTCAGTTATACTGTTCGTTAAGTGAAATCTGTGATATATTAGCATAATTATATTAAAAGAAGAATAATATATCACGTCGGGATCTCTCTTTACATTAACGAGTTGTCGAGTTTCAATTAATGAAGGATAAGTTTGTGGAAGTTTAGTCGAAAATTTTAAGCAAATCGTAGGCGTTTGCAGTCGTGCTCTCTCTCTCAATTTTGCGTTTCAAAGTTTCGCGACTTGGCGAGCGATGTAAAACTCCGGGAATTGGTTCAGACGTTGACAAGTCCGCCTCTCGGGGAACACGTTCCGAAGTTGAGACATTTGTCCGGGCCACTCGTAAATTCGAACGAATTTATGCTCCCTATTTCATAGTTGCGCGAAACGAGCGACGTGACAGAGTTTCGCGGATCCATCGTGTATCGAGTTTGTTCGAAAAGTGACTTGCTCCTCGAAAATCACCGTACATTCTTCGGAATTTTCTTTTCCCTACAGCCCTTTGCCTCCTGGGATCCTCTCTATTTTACATAGGTTTTCTTCTAACGTAATTCCGTGACAGGAAAGCACATCCAAATATCCTTGAACAGCGGAGCATGGGTCAATTGTGACCAAATTAATTTAAAGTTAAATGTATAATTTATGAACACCGTTACATTTATAAAATGAAAATAATATTAAATACGATATTGAATTAAACTTGGGTCTCTCTCCATGGTCCGTCGTTCGATCATATTTTATGTCCAACAACATTAATAGACCTGCAATTATTCAACCGCTAAAGTAATTAAAATTCGAGAAAGTCAATGTTGCTCCACCAGTGAATTAACGAACCTCATTAGGAACTTGAAATTTCTGTTTTGACAAGGTTAGGACAGAGGACGACACTTTAGGAAGTTTAGTCTAGTTTTCAGCTTAATAATTGCTCGGTCCGGTCGAAAGTTTCTGCCGGAAGTTCGACAGCCGAAAATATGATAATTCCTGTACGAGGCCTGCTTGCTGTCTCTAGAAAGTGTCGAGGAATATCGTTTTTGTTTTAACGAGACCCTTGGAGCTGACGGCGCTATTATTACACTCACGCTCCACTTTTCCGATATTACGGACGTGTTTTATGAAACTCGAGCGTAAAAAAGGCTGCTATCAATGCTGGCGCTCTGAAAACGCGAGAAACTACCACCCTCGCCTCTTCTCCTCTATACATATTCCTCTCTCGCGTTACTTTACACGGGGAAAAATTTCATCGATCGTTCCCGGGGTAAGACACCGATCTTGAGAAGAATTTTTATAAACCCCTGACCGGTGGATCCAATCTTGACGGGGGGTGTTTAACGAACGGTACGAATTACGTCTTCGACTCGATTCGCAATGCGCTTACTTCGAGGTACCACGTATCTCCTGTCGAATTTGCATGCGAGCGAGAGGCCAGGCTCGAAATTCAATCTATCCGGCATCGAATTCTCGAGTCACGATCCCGGAGATGCCTTGATTTCCGTGCGCTGACCGCATCAACCGGGGACTTCCGGTTGCTTCGCAGATGGCAAACTCGATCGGAATCGATCCTATTCGGTATACGATTCGTCGAATAGCTTTAACGATTTATCACGGTGAATTATTTACAGAAAATCGCAATGCGACATTTTTGAAGCCTCGAATTTTCAAAGCTTTTGTCGCATTGATTTTTATTCATTTATTTTTAGTATAATGGTACTTGATAATGTCCTTAACTATCTATCACAGAGACAGGCAAACTTCCTTCAGCTTATTCAAAATTCATACGAAAATATCTAGCGGAAGCACAGTGTGCATAGACCAAGTGTTTCGAACGAATTTCATGGATCGATGGTCGCTGGACAAACTGGTAACTTTCGCGAAACAGATGCGTCGACAAAATTCCCTTCGTGCTTCGCTCGGCAGCGTTTAAGTACAGATCGCTTCACAATAGATTTACATCGTGAAAATTAGGAATTCTCCGTGTTGAAAGAAATATTCCAATGGTAAATTACACGATCGATTTGCGGATGGAGCAACCCTAGTCGCTGGTTAGAGTCGAGGCTGGAAACGGGCGTGATCGTATGCGTTTTACCCGCGCAAAGTACACTGGTACTCGATGTTCACTCGTGGACGCGTGCATACAGCGTGCAATTAACTGAACCTGTTTGCGGTTTGAATTTCTGTGCATGGCGAATTATGTAGTTCCACGGTTTGCCAGTGGAACGTGGCCAGGAGAACCGGACAGCCAGCTGCTGTTTATATGTATTTTCTGAAAGTGTTTAACGATAGTGCTGGCTTTCCATCATAATGCGACATCTGTTGGGCCATGTTTAATAGATAAGGCATTTATTTCTTATATTAGCACCATTCGCATTCGAATCGAGTAACCAGGGTAGAGAAAATTATCCGGGTAATCAGCACGTCTTACATCCCAGCAACCCTTATACGCTGCATCTCTTACATCTCTGCATACATTACATCTCTGCATCACTTACGTCCCTACATCATTTATATTCCTGCACTCCTTATAATCCGGCAATTCTCAGACCTATGCATCCCTTACATCCTTGAGTTCTTCGTATCTTTGCATTCTTTACATCCCTGTATCTCTTACATCTCTGCATCCCTACATTCCTTACATCTCTTCATACCTTAAATCCCTACATTATTATCATCCCCACATTCTTTTCATCCCTAAATTCTTTTCATCCCTACATACCTTACATCCCTTCATCCCTTAAATCCCTACACTCTATTCATCCCTTCACTTTTTTCATCCCTACATTCTCTTCATCCCTACATTCCTTACATATCTTCATCCCTTAAATCCCTACACTCTTTTCATCCCTTCACTCTTTTCATCCCTACATTCCTTTCATCCCTACATTCCTTACATCGCTTGATCCCTTACATCCCTACATTCTTCTCATCCCTACATTTTTTTCATCCCTACATTCTTTTCATCCCTTCATTCTTTTCATCCCTACATTCCTTTCATCCCTACATTCCTTACATCTCTGCATCCCTTATAATAAATATAATATAAAGACTGCTTCGAGTAAAGGTAAGTAAAGGTAAGTTTCGCGAAAATTTCAAAAAAACAGCGCCCCCTAGCGGCAAAAATGTGAACTAAAATTTCGATGTCGAATCAGCGCCATCTGGTTTCGAAAAAAGGAACTAAATCATGCTAAAATTTTGGCCCTCTGGCGGCAAAAATGTGAACTAAAATTTCGATGTCGAATCAGCGCCATCTGGTTTCGAAAAAAGGAACTATATCATGCTAAAATTTTGGCCCTCTAGCGGGATAAATGTGAACTAAAATTTCGATGTCGAATCAGCGCCATCTGGTTTCGAAAAAAGGAACTATATCATGCTACAATTTTGGCCCTCTAGCGGCAAAAATTAGAATTAAAATTTCGATGTCGAATCAGCGCCATCTGGTTTCGAAAAAAGGAACTAAATCATGCTACAATTTTGGCCCTCTAGCGGCAAAAATGTGAACTAAAATTTCGATGTCGAATCAGCGCCATCTGGTTTTGAAAAAAGGAACTAAATCATGCTAAAATTTTGGCCCTCTGGCGGCAAAAATGTGAACTAAATTTTCAACGTCGAAACAGCGCCCTCTGGTGGCGAAAAAAGGAACTAAATTTGCAAGATTTTTCCCTTCCTGTTGCGCGGATATGGGGATTGTGAGGCTTGCAAGCATGTAAGGGATGCAAGGGCACGCAAGGAATATAAAGGGCACGCAAGGGATGTAAAGGATACGCAAGGGATGGAAGAGTTACAAGGGATATGCGAGGGGTGCAAGGGCACGCAAAGGGTGTAAGAGACACGCAAGGGCATGCAAGGGATGTAAAGGCATATAAAGGATACGTAAGAAATATGTAAAGGATACGCAAGGGATGGAAGAGTTGCAAGGGGCATGCGAGGGGTGCAAGGGCACGCAAAGAATGTAAGGGACACGCAAGGGGTGCAAGGACATGCAAGGGATGTGCAGGCATGTCAAGTGTACGTAAGGAATACGTAAAGGATACGCAAATGATGCAGGGGATGAAACGGTATAAGAATGGGCACCATGAGGCCCAATAAAAGGGGTAAAATAATAAATAACTCTGAAGGATAAGGTAATGTTTGTAAAAAGGGATAAAATAATAAATTAAAGGGATGCTGAGCTAATCTCCTCAAGAAGGATATAATCTTAAATTTCACCCTCCTTATAAGCTTATCTAATAAGCTAAGAAATTAAATAATATAAATTAGATAAACTCAGGGAATAAATTAAAGGTATATGTATGTTTGAGAGATAGATCTTCACCCCTCGGTGGTCGCTACAAGAGTGACTAGGTTTCACCTCGCTGTAGGTCGAATGGTTGACAACGATGCTCAAACAGCCGTGATGTTCCTCTTCACCAATAGAAAATGTCACCAATAGAAAGTCAAAGGTCTAACTTAAGTAATAAGTGGAATTTGATCGTTCAAGGAAAAAATGTTTGTAAAGGAAGGAATTTCAAGGAAGAATTAAACATAATAATTAGTTTGTTATTTTTCCATAAGTAATATTTATTCATAAATAAAGGTATTACATTTTTAATCATCCCTTAATGAGTACATTTACACTGCTTGCTTATTTCATAGTGTCGATTCGGTGAAATTGTACAATACAAGTGGAAAGTATGATTAGATCTCGTCGTTCGCGTTTCATAACGGTCTACCATCTACGAAAGGGTGCTTGTCTCGGTGACACCCTACCTGACGACCCCTAAACGTTTCTGAATGTAAATAGCTGGAAAGGAACGAGGGTGAGAATAAGAAAAAGGTAGAGATAGCATCGAGATAGAGATCTCTCGATCCAAGAAAGGGGAAGAATTGGCCCTTGGCACCGAGTAACTTTTCACGAAACACTTCTCTACCGAACAATCTCACAAATACACCAACGCATCTCGTTACGCTAAAAATGATAAAAAATTAAACTTCATACTCTGACTTTTATCATTCTTAGTTAGTCGAGAAATGAAAAGTAGCGTACACTTTAGAATTATCGCAAAACTGTCGTCGTCGTTTTTCATAAAGACAAATGGTCTCTAAAAAAGCGAACTGTTTTATGACCGAACTATAGTCAGTTTGCAGTACAATATAACCAGCAGCGGGATTTTCTTCGCTTCTAGCATATTGGCGGGCTGCCAAAGATAGATGTCACGAAGGTGTTGGCAAGAAGAATTTACCGAAACGATCCGGGATTAAGTAACACCTTATCTTTATTTGCCTATCGACGAGATCGCTTTATCTTTATTTTTTAAATAAGAAAATTAAACAATTCATAAAACAAGAAATTCACAGCGATAAACTCGTCGATATAGAAAATGAAGCGAATACTAAGCGGAAAATAGAACGCTCGTATTTCGCTTTGATTACGCTTGCGATAATAAACATTTTACTATTGATTTACTTGATCGCAATATGTAAAAAAGTTCGCAAAGACGTGTATAGAAAAGGGTGGGCGCGAAGAGGTTGTGGGAAATTGAAAGGGAAGGATATCCCTCCCAGCATTCTCGTGAAAGTATCATAAAAGTATCGGATGTCTGTTTTATCGTCCACTTCCTGCCTTGTCGCAGAGGGAATCGAAAGGAGTCGATACAACGTCGAGATGAGGGATCAGTTTGCTGCCCCTCGCGCCACTTTCCAAGACGAACTAGGCTAACGCACTGCTATACCTCGTAAGGGTGCTCGATTGAAACTTCGGAGATACGGCTCGGCTTTTAGTTACATACACGATCACGTGCGATGGATCCTCTGTTCTCTGAATGATACATTTCCCTCAACGTGAAAGGGGTAAACTTTGATAGAACGTTGGAGGTTTAGACAACCTTAGCTGAACGCTTGTCAATGTCGATGGAAATGTTATATTTTCGACGATACAGAAAGATACAAGTATTTTACTTTAGGTAAGTACAGCGAAACTGTCGAGTCGAAGGGAGGGATCAACGTTAATTCAACTGGATCAAGTTTCTCGTTGAATCGAGGAGACGAGGAAATCAAGAATTCTCTTTGATACGGGTGGGATGTAGACTTCCGGTTCTCTGTTTTCCGTGTAACGTAGATTCACGAATCACTGCCTCCTCGGAGCGACAAGATTTCGGAGTTGAGGAGTTGGAAATTTTCCCTCTGTGCTTCCCTGGAAACTCGTGCTATTCTTTGTCTGCACCTCTTCCTAAACACCTAGAACAAAAGCGTCGAGTATTTTAATTCGACTTGATAAGCATTTGTTTGAAAGAATGGAAATTTATTTGTGCTTACAGGTGGAAGAAGACTGGAAGTACGTGGCGATGGTGCTCGACCGGATCTTCCTCTGGATATTCACAGTGGCCTGCGTGGTGGGCACGGTGTTGATTATCCTACAGGCGCCGAGCCTGTACGACACCACGAAGCCGATCGACATCAAATACAGCAAGATCGCGAAGAAGAAGATGATGCTGATGAACATGGGCCCGGAGGAGGATTAGTCGACGATCCCGCGCGGCTTCGCGCCGCGTCGATCGCATCGGCGACGTCGTCGTCGTCGTCGTCGTCGACGTCGGCGTCCGCGTCGTTCAGCGGGACCGCGTCATCGAAACTGCCGAATTTCGCGTCGATTCCACGATTCCCGTGGAGGAACCTCTCTCGATCGTTGTTGCCGGAGCTGATTCCGGGCTGGTGAACGGAGGAGCAGATCCAGCAACGAGGAGGCAAAAATGCGAGCGAAAGAAAGAAAGAAAGAAAGTTTGAGAAAAGAAAGGCACGGAGCTTTCGTTGAAGAGTGACGAAACCGTGTATCCGTGGCGTTGATCTTTCCCTCTGCGAACTTTTACCGATCGATCCTTCGATCCTGAACTCTCACCGATGGAGGGAACGGGGTGAAATAGCGCGCGTTCGAACGAGTGGATAGCACGAGTGGATCGTGAATGAACACGAACGAGCAAAAGGGAAGCGTGTATGCGTGTGTGAGTGTGTTCGAGCGACGAAAGAAGAGACGGAAAGCCGATGAAGAAATCGGCGACGAAGGTATCGGACGAGGGATAGAAACCGGTGACGGTGCTGGAGGAATAGAAAACGAAGAAAGAGAAAATAATTGAGAGGGGAGAAAAAGTGCCAAATACGCGAAGACACGCGCGCAACGTATTTTTGTAAATCTGGTTTCATACGTAAGGCTAGAGTCGTGCGGCGAGACGTCGAACTGCCCGAACTGCCGATTTTATATAAGAAGACGTTTACACGCAGCAGCTACGAAGACGCGTACATCTCTACACACCCGCATACGTACATACACAAACATACAGACACATTAACGAATCACTCATTACAGAGAAGCGTGACAGGAAATTCACGTGGTAACGAAGCGCGTAAACAAAAAATTTATACGTAAATGTAAACGAGTTAAACGAGAGGGAGAGAATAGGAGGAAGAAGATCGAGGAAGAGATGAGGAGGACGCGCGCTGTTTCTCGCGTGCGTTCCTTAACGCATCCCCTTTTGCTGTGCACACGTGTACATAGGTATATAGAAATTATACATCTATTACATTGCGTAGATAATATAATCGACGATCTCAGCGTATGAGCACAACGCGAAATATTCATCCGCATTCTCGACACATCGTATCAAATATTCATGACGTTGCGTTCGCACAACCGAGGCGCATCGTCGTTGAAGATGAAGAATAGGAGAAAACATAGGGAGCAAGCGTAGCCCACACGACGAAGGAGGATTCTTCGGCCGGAGAATTGCTTCCGGTGATAAAGAACGAGTCGTCGAGGCGGAGATTATTATGCCAGGAAGCGTGCGGCAACCGGGGTTGAAAAGAAACGAAAATAAAAAAGAGAAGGAAAAAGGAAGAGAACTGAAAATTTTCCTCGTTTTTCCTCTTTCCTATCCGATCGTCGAACGCGGCAACGGCGCTGCCGGACGGATTTCACGGTCTCATCGACAGTTTTTTAATTTATCTTCGCAATTGTTCCGGACCAGAGCGCGGCTCGATATTATCAAGACGAATCATTCCATCGAACGCGCCGTTGCGAGCGGGATAACTCGAAATCGATTCGATTCCTGGCGACTCCTTCGTCGTGCGTGTTCCCGTGCAAGCGAGAGGATCGCGAGCGGAAGACACTCGCAAACAACTGCCAACCGGACGAACCTCTGACTAACTCGAACGTTATCGATGGATCGAGTACGAGAAAACAGGACAACGAATGTGGAAGGATTCGGTGCCAGGATGCAGAAAACTAGGAAGGCAATTGTTTCGATGTTACAGTGCCAATCGAGATTTCGGCTGTTTCCTTTTTACCTATCGACATTTTTGGCGAGCTTCTTCCTTGAAACGGCTACTCGAACATCCAGATAGAACTTGAAGAATCTCCAATCGTGTCTCCCAAGGAATAATCCTTGATTTTTTCCTACGGCTTTTTATTGAAACGACCGTCTTTCAGGAACCTTCTGCCCTCGACAATTCTGTGATACGTCTTCCTGCCGTGAACCCAACGAAACGTCGACCTTTCAGCTCGATCGAGGAAAGAAAAAAGAAAGGAGAAAGGGATCAGAGTTTACGAAGGACCAACGACTGCCATTCTACGGTGCGTTTCGTTTCGCGGAAACCAGACGTACGCCGAGTTTTCTCTTCTTCTTGGCCGGATCTCGTGGCTGGCTGGTGCAGCGGATCGATACCACCCCCGTATAGCGAAGGAAACGGGCAAAGGACGACAAAGGAAGACGCTTATAATTCGAAGAACTCGAAACCTGTATTCTGATTATCGAATGATTTGAAAGAAGGAGCACTGATACGCCAGAATTTACAAAGATAATCCGAAAGAAATAGTTCAGTTTCTATTCATTATATGTAAACTCGAAATTGTGTTTGTTCTTTAAATGGAAATAAGGATGTATAAAAATTTATGAAAAGAACGAGGGATCGTATTGTAAACAGCTTCGTTTTTACCCTCCGAATGTAATCACGAAACCATGGAAATTTATAAGGGAGAATAATTTTCAGTGTGGAAGAAGCGAGCTTGAAAAGCAGGAAGAATAATATCGTCGCAAGGATATAGAGGACGGTGCAGCGAGTTTCCTTTTTGTTCTTTAAATGCAAATTTGGAACTATGAAAATTTATGAAAAGAATCAAGAATCGTGGTATCGTGAACGGTTTCGATTTTCCCCTCTACGAAAGTACAGAATTTTATAAGGAAAATAATTTTCGATAGAGGAAGGGATGAAGGATACCGCGTTGCAAGAGTGTGCAGTGATAGATCTGAAACAGTGCAATTAATTTCTTTTTTCTTTTTACAAGGTAACTCGATGTATCATTGATATCGTACGTCGTCAGACCGTCGAAGAAGAGTTCTACCGTTCCCGAGACCTCTCGTCAGTCTTTCAATGCACCCGAAACTCCCAGAAGCCTTACGTTATCATTCGACCTCGCCGTATACCACGTTCAGTCTTTCAAGAATCATTTTTCACGTTCAGACGACGCTCAAATCGGCTCGAACATTTTTCATTGCTCGATGGAATCCTTCCTCGAACGCCCATCAAACTGGCCACATGGAGCGAGTGACCGACCGCGTATAAACTCGTGCCACAACAGACATTTTTACTCCGACAATGCGGAGTCGCGATGAAGGGGTACACAGCAGGCAGCTACGTCCCCTTCGAAGCGGTATAATAATCAATTTATTTGCTCACGTAAAGGTAACGGTATAATATATATTTAATATGTGCATATAGGTATAAACGGGAGAGAATTAATTACACGAGAGAACTAATTAATCGCATAGCCGAGGAACGAAACACTCGTCGAGACGGTGGCGGTGGTGGTTAATGGTGGTGGTGATGGTGGTTGCTAATGGTGTGGTGCGTGGGACGTATTGTTACGCTGATCCAGGAACACGTGGCTGTGCGAAGTTTGGGTGTCGGGAAATCTGATGATCCGAGATGATGCTACGGGATATACGTGTTTTCGAAAATTCATGGGGGTGGAAGAGAAGATAGAACCAACATAAAGTGGCTTTCAAACTTGTTTTTATCGATGGCGTATCGCTGCAAAGATTAACTTCTTCACGAAAATATTGGACTTTGAGGAATGTTTATTTAGAACGATGCTGTCGGAAATTGGACAGGTTAGTTAATAATTGAATTCGTTATGTACATTACCGAGCATGGTAGGTTTCACTGAGGAACATAATCCCCCCCCCCCTTGGTTCCTGGGTTGATGGCCCTCACCATAGGCCACCCCTTTCAGGGGTTCCCCAGGTCCCAGTCCCCCCGGGGACTTGCCCCTTCTCGAGCTCCCGTCCGTCCTCGGTGACGGTCCCGAGAAGAGTGACCGCTCACAGGTGTAGGCGTCTTATATATAGGCCTGCGGTGCCCCCCACCACTTGACCATGCACGCCTACGCGCGAAGATTTGAATTGATATTTACCTTACATTCGTGTTTTCCAATTATATTCGAAATTTTATCGACACTTAATGATTAAAAATTATGTTATTTATTTTTCTAAACCTTTTTTAATAATAATATCATTAAAATTAAGGTTCTGCTTCCCTTTTAACATTATTTTTTCTAAGGAAATCTATCGTGCTCGATATTGTACATGGTACAATTCGAAGAATACAGTTTGATAATCATTAAACAATATATTTTAATAATATATTATCTTTGATATATCGATTTGATAATGATATAATTATTTCACGATTATCAATTACTTTGGTTAATTGTTTAATTAAATTTTGTCTTGAATTTGAATAATGGACTTAAATGTTTGCGTTTGTTCGAAACATTCCTCGTTGCAACAAATAACTCGGTAAAGTTTCATTGGTGGAAATCGCGAATGTCGAAACAGTGTTCACGAAGTAGAATTTTCGGTGTATACCCAAGGAAATTGTTGCTGCCGCGTTCTACCGCGTCGCATTGTTTACTGACCGTGTCTCTAACTTCCTGTTCCCGGTTATTAATTTACGACACTGCTTAAATCAGACTTCAAACGCGAATCGGCCACGCTTTCTGAAGTTATTACGCGAACGTCACGCGGCAACGTAATGTACGATGTTGCGTCGACGGTAGAAACTGGGTCACCGGTTTGAAATTACGCTCGCCTCGAAACAATTTTTCCCAACAAATCATAGAACCGAAGGAAAACAATGTTCCCTCGTATCTACGTATTGTTGAACGAATTTCAATCGAAATAAGACGAGAAAACATCGCGGTTGTTTGCTTAAAGAGAAGAAAATTTTAGAAATACAATTACCGTTTATTCGAGTCGTTAAATTAAATGAACCGCGCTTGAAATACGAGTTAATCGTAACGATATAAATAATATGTCCTTACAGGAGGGTATAATTTCTCTGTCTGAAGAGAGGTATCATAAATCAACCTTTAAATGGCCGGCACTGACGAATATTCTCGGGAAAAGAGAAACGCGAAAAGGTTAACCGTAACGACACATTAAATTAACTCAGACCGTGCGAAATCCCGTCGTTACAGTTAAAGAATTAGCTTACATTAATTATCGCGAAACCGCTTAATTTTCCTCGACGAGCTCGCTGCAGAATTTCCAAATTTTGTTACGGAATCGTAGAGTTTTCCTCTTGGGAATTTTCTCACAGGTGTTAATGTTTTATTAAAAGTGACAAAGTTAATCGATGCAGCGTTTGAAAGATGATGGAAACTACCCCTTTCTCTACCACCCCCATTGTTTGGAGAATATAAGAACGATTGTTGATACGATTAATATCAAGGCCAGTGTAAACGAGGGATTTTCATCTTTGCAATTTTTCAATAATGATATTTTTATTTTAAATTTGTATTTTGGAATATTTTAAAATTTTCTCTATTAACAACCCATATGTTTATGTATTAAATTATTTAACTCAAGACCCAAGTGTAATTAAATCATTTCCATTTCGTGTTAACAATTTTGAAATTTTATTAATTGGTAATGGGAGACTAAATAATTATAATTAAATCACTCGTCTACACTGAGCCTCAAAAATCATGCAAAGGATAAAAGAAATGAAGAAGAAGGTTGTTGAATACGATAACGACGTGGAATGAAGGATTTCTGGGTTCTAGAGATATTGTCGTACGTTAAGTTGGTACTCGTTGATAATAAACGTTGATAATCGATTGTGACAATGAAAAACAGGGGGAGTGCGATTTCTCGTGGATTGAATTTCATTCAGAGTCTCATTGATCGTATCGATCGACAGGCTTTACGAATTGCCGCGAACGATTAGGGTTAATTAATAGACGAATCTGTTTGAATCTGCTTCGATCCACCGAGATCTTCAACGATACTCGTTTCGCTGATAGTTTTTAACTGATCTTTCGTTACTTTGTTCCTTTTTAAACACAGTCAGAATCGAAAGTGAATATACACCTTTGTCATATTCTTACTATATACAGGAAGATATACAAAATAATGTAGTTAATGTAAAGAGTACAAAAATAAGTGATAAGGGTAGATGAATATTACACACGTTGACTGACATACTGTAATTAAAATGATTGAATTCCTTAATTAAATTTTTTTTAATTATCGCTGTTCTATTTCAGTGACTCGATATTAAGGCAGAAAAATTTGAAATTAATAAGGGTAATATTTGATGGAGGATATTCTATTAGAAAAATTTAGAAAATGATTAAATGCTCTGATTTTCTATGAAAATTTCTGGCTAATTTCGAAGCAAAGGGTGAAATTGAGTTTGCAAAGTGGATGATCATCATGGCAGTCAACGTGTTAATAATGGTCGAAACGAAGGTCGTTGCAGGTTGATCAATCGAAGCAGACCCGTTGTGTTTAATGACAGGTAATCGCGGATCGTTGCAATCCATGGGGGTTGATCGAGGGGTAGGTGTCGCACGCGTGTGTGCCAACACATTCGGATACGCCGTCGTGCCTGTTCGTCCCATACGCGGCGAACTTTCACCCTAAAAATCGTCGAACGATTCCGATCACGCGTTCTCTTCGCCGACGAGCAAATGAAATATAAATGGTCTTCGTTAAGGAATAAATACGATCTATTTTAAGGAAGAAAATCGATGAATAGCGACCCAATTTTCTAGATTTTTCAACTTACGTCTTCCTCCTTCAGAAAATTTGCCAGATGAATAATTATTAAAAGCAGAGCTTTTCTAAAACATTGTAAGGGGACACTGTAAACGCTACCTAATCCCAGCAACCGTATTTAACCCCGAATAAATAAAACCCGTGTGAATGTAATTCAACAGGCATTCATCGAGCTATCTTTGCCAAAAATGCTCCGCCTTCTCGGTTGCGACACGTGAAAATTAATTAAAATCCACAAGAAGAGCCCTGGTGATCGCGACGGAGATCCTAGATTTTTTTCTCTCCTCCCTCTTTTGAATAGAGCCGTATAATCATCTGAAGGAGTTAGTCAGTCGCCGTTTGAATAGGAAGGATTCTATACATGAAATAATTCTGTTTTCTCGTCTGGTTGCATCCTCGCGCGGCAAGATCCGCTCGGTTTCTTTTTCTTTTTCTCGCCCCGAACGGAGAGGAGTCGGCCGAGCCTTGAAAGGATAGCTGGTGGCGTCGCGTGGTAATTGAATTTTTCACTCGCCCCGGGCCTTGGTAGACGCGCGATTCATTAGCAGTGTAAACCCAGGGGCTGGAAATTAGGGCGTGCATGTAAGGTAAACGAGCGAGAGCGAACGAAACGACGAGCAAATGGATTAAGCGAGCGCTGATTCCGTGAACGTGGACGAGTTCTCACGGCAGAGGGATAGCTCGCAGTTTCGATTATCACGGGGAAACGTGTCCACCTTTCCGAAACGACGGGTCTGATTAAAATTTTCATCCCTTATCTTATCACCCTTTTTCTTTGTCGAGGGTGTTGTTCGACGGTTCGAAAGTTTGAGATCAGATGGATTCAAAAATTGCCGGAGTACGAGATCTTGTTAATAAATAACAATTTTATCAAATAATTTTTATCCCCGCTGTATTTATAACATATAGATAGTATTGAGAAATAAATGAAAAATATGCAACCACACCCTTTGTAATTCATTTAATTTCATAAGAACATGATGTCAAATTTTCGATCGGATATTCCTTTTGAAAAATTTTCTATTCTACCTGAAATTAACTCGATATTGAATATTGATTGAAAATAATTGCGGTTCTGAAGGGGTTCACGAGTACGCGTGATCGGACACCGTGTTGCAAAAATCCGTCTTCCTGTCTACGTGTTTCTTCCGGTTTCTCGCTGTTCTCGCGTGTCCATCGTACGTGGGCGCACCCATGGTTAAACGTTGTTCGAGAATTATACATTACGTACATACGTGTGACTGTGTGTAGATTAAATTTCGAGTAAGTGTTTACAAGTATAAACTCGCGCGCGCGATAGCCTTGATAAGCGAAACTCGACAATTGCGTAAGTGATAATCTCGTAAGCGTGTTAATTACTATAGGTAGACCCTTCCGATTGTGACCCTCGTGCCCAGGATTTGCCAATCCTTATTTTTCACCCTTAACACTATCGACTTAAGTTTGTAAATATTTTCAAAAGACACTTGATTTAGCAAGTCTTAAAAATGAAAAAATTAATTTCATCAAAAATATTTAACACTAGAACGATTAAATTACATAAATGACTAATGAGCTAAGTTTCTCCATCACCTGTTCATTTATTTCGAATTCTAAGCTAATTGTTCTAGTGTTAAATAAATTCGAGATTTTTTTTTTTCAATTTTTATGTTGGTTCATCAGCCGTCCGGACGTCCAAATGGTTTCTATGAAAAAAAAAGGGACGTTTCGTACACGGCCACGGTCTGGGTCACAGTCTTGAAACGCTCAAATAAAACCAAGTTAACTGTATCGTCAGAAGCTTAAAGTCTTCCGTGGGGCATTCCTGACAATGACGATTTTTCTCGGGGTGATCCGCAAAACGGCCAAATAAATGATCGAAAGAAAAGGAACTAACAATATAAAAAGAAAACGAAACAAAGAGAGAAAGAAACAAGGGAGAACGATGATGTTTAACGCGACGGTAAATTCGTCGTCCTGTAAACACACCGTCGATTTACGTGGGAACGTGAAAGAGAAATGTTAAACCGTCCATAAAGAGAATTTACGTAACATGTACGACGAACGACAGGGATTTCGTTTCCGTATCGCAAACGGGAATTTTCTACTTTACCGAATGCACGGTTCACTGCGTAGTCCACTCGAGTAACCTGATTATTAATTTCCTTTTTTTTTTTCAAAGGTTCATTGAACATTCAGATTTTCTGTTTAATTGCTTTTTTAACACCAGGAGACAGTTGCGTGATGCGAAAGTAACGAAACCGATTTATGATTCGTTTTCTTTTTTTAACCCTTGAACAGCGAAGCCTGGGTCACTCCTGACCCAAACAAGGATATTAACTTAAAGTTAAACATATAATTTTTAAACGAAAGAATAATTTTTAACGAAACGGTGTAAAATTTATGGGGCTCTCTCCATGGTCCGCCGTCCGAGGGTTAATTAGCAATGCCACAATTCTGAATTTCTATTCGAATATAAAACAATTAAATTTCAAACAATCAGTCAATAATGGTACGATAATTAAATTAATTAAAGTGAGTTGTCTTAATTGGACTAATTATCGTTACTTTCGCGACAGAAGCAAGTATCGGTTTCTTAATTACGTTAGTAGTGGTCTAAAGTGATCGTGAATTCTTCCGACAATCGTGCATCAATCGTTTCTTCCATAGTCGTACGAATCTCAGCATAATTGAATCACACCATCAAAGGGGCACGTCTCTTTGCTACGGGACAATTTTTCACGTTTTCATCGAGGGATCTTAGATTTATAACAAACACGACGACGAACGATCCAGAGTGATCGGTGATACGTCATCGAGAAAAAATAATAAAAAAATTAAAAAACGGAGAACGGTCGCGGACGGCGTTTGAAAAGCGGATTCGAAAATCGCTTCAGATACTTTTCGAAAATCGAAGAATCTTCTCTGTTGGCGCACACGCACGGTTCCCTCCTGTTTGCTCGTTTAACAGATACTATTTGTAACCATCGCCAGACGTGGTAGAATTTTGACAGTGCAACGTGACGCACCGCGTTTTGGAAAATCGTTTTCTCATTCAATATCCTTGCCCACGTTTTGATCACTGAATTTAATCGGTGTTGATGAATTACAAGTGTTAATTGGGTAGACTAATTAAAAGTCTGGCACAATTTCATGACATAAAAGTATTACAAAATACCACTTGTGGCATATCAAATTGAAGCTTAAAATATAATTAAAATAACTACATTAACCCTTCATTGATATTCTTAATACAAAATGGCTGGTTGCCAGTCAAAGCAAATAGTGGTTGATTTTGAAACCTGAAAAGTCTGATTAAAATTCATGACATAAAAGTATTCTGAAATAGCCCTTATGATATATGAAATTAAAGCTTAAAATATAAAGAAAATTAATAACATTTCAATCCTATCAGATTTTTTAATTGTTACTTGTAATTCAACAGCACTTTGAACTTCGCCCTGTCTTTCTACAGAGAGTCAAATAAACGCTCTCTACATTTTTTTACGATATCGTAGAATTAACAAAAGGTGGATAGAAATTAAGTATATTGATATAAAACGATTATCCAAAACGGTGAGCGGTTTTTATACAACGGAGCGCTAGATTTCATTGATAGCGCTTTTGAAAGGGATTCGAGCGACGAAGGCCACGATAGACACTGGAAAAAGCGTCTTGTTTTCCAAAGAAAAAAAAGAAACAAATGAATAAGAAAAATAAGCGAGAATGTACGATCGTCTTTCGAAGCAGAGGGAGGATCGATAGGCACGCGGGTAAACCCTTTGAACTCTTTTTCTCCTCGGGAAAAATTTCACCGTGTTTCCGATTCGCAGATTTTCCATATCTCGCTATAAACTTTTCCATAGTATTTCGAAAATTTCCATCACCCACATTCGCCCCATTTTCCATTCCCTTCGATTATCGAACCAATTAGGATTTATATGAAAAGGGTGCAACCCTATAGAAACTCACCAGAATCATCAAAAGGCACGAATTGTGTTCGCCACGTGTTCGAAAGCAGGTGAAAACCATAAAACAACACGCATGTGGTTCCGTAATATCGAACGGAGAATTTTTTAAAATCCCGGGGATGGAAGGGTTGAAGAAGGGGTTGCGAGATGGCTATAGGGATCTCTTCGTGTGTTCGAACGGATTAAATCGAAATCTTTGCTCAACGTTGCATACGTGTTATATAAATATATATATATATATATATAAATATAAATATAAATATATATAAATAAGATGATGTTATCTTATAGTGTTGCAAAATAGTGTTAACTCACGGCCGAGCAAGAAGAAAATTCCGTGTTTCCGGCCACGTCGTGATCCGTTGTGTTCAAAGAACGAAGAAGGATCTTGGTTTTTTTTCGGACTGAAATGACTAAATCGAAGGGGATGATATGGAAGAGGAGTGAACACCATCGATGCACGGTGGCCGCGAACGATGTCGAAACGAAATGAAACGAAACGAAACGGTGGAATAAAATAAAAAAGGAGACAGTGTGTAGATTATTAAAACCAACGTAAAAAAAAAAAAAATGGTAACAATAGTAATAACGATACTAATAACGATGCTAAAAAAAAAACGCTGTTAAGGAATAATGAAGCATAGTGAATAAACGAGTAACGGATAATAGCACGTAACACGCAGTAATAAACTACCACTTAAACAATAAACGAGTTACGAGTAACGTTTAACCCTAAGGTTAAGTAAAACGAGAAAAAAAAAAATAATCACGCTGAATAACAAATTTATCGAGTATTAATTAATTAAAGAAAATGATAAAATAAAATAAATAAATAAAAATGGTACCCTTCGCAAGTATATCGAGGCGTTGAACTCTTACTATGCGACGATCACGAAACGTTATTACCGTTGTATGTGTGTACGGATGTGTGTTTACGTGCGTATGTGGGCGTATATATTGTTACCAAAAAAAAAAAAAAAAATAAATAAATAAAAATAAAGAAAGGGGAAGAGGAATGAGAAGAAGAAGAAGAGACGAAAGTGACTAGTCGAAGAAAAGAAATTGTAAACCGTGTAAAACTGATAGTATTGTTAAGACAATCAGACACTTATTGCTCCCGGCCATCTTGTGGGCCATCCGTGAATATTTCGTCGATAATCGATTAGAGAAAAAAAAAAAGAAAAACTGGATCAGATCGAGACGAACGAGCAGTGGGTGATAGCGATTCGTCAACTCGCCTCTGTCGTGTCTCGGAATGATTTCTACTGGAAAATCGATGGAAGATCCTTTGACATTGATCCCTTGCTATCTGGGAAGGGAGATTCGAGCAGGGTGAAGAGGACGATTCTCTTTTCTTTTTCTACCCCCCTCAGATTTTCTACGGTTTCAAAAAAACATACCAACAAACGAAAGAGAGTGAAGGCGGTGAAGCGACTGTGTTTGTATGAATTGATCGAGCTGAATGTTTTATTAGGAATCGACATTGAGAGCGACAGCAGCTGTCAACCCCCCTTTTTCCTGGGGTGGTTCCAAGGGAAAGGGGTGCACTATTACAGCGAACATGTTTATACAGGATGTCGGTGGAAATTGGGGTGAAATTTAATATATCACGTTTGTGTAATTCTCCTTCATCGAAGCGTTGATTAACAGAAATATTTATTGCGTTAATGAATTTTCACGTAATTTTTCAATGTAATTTCAACGATTGAAATTTTCTTTAAATCATCCACCCTTATTCCCGAATTTCTAAAAATACCCTGTATGAACGAGGCGCGTATGTTTCACTCGTGGAACGAGAGACATACGAGTCCGTTTTCCTCCGTTTCGAAGAAATCACTGGTTCTTCGACTCGCATCGCTCTCGTTCCGAATTGCAAGTCACAGTAAACGTTCAACATACGAGTTCGGATCGAACTTAGGGCTACATAGTACGCACAAAAAGAAATACCTAGATGATAAAGGAACACGTGTAAATAAAGCTTAATGGAGGCGGTTTCTATTTAATTTGCGAAATAATTACGTTTATTTGTCACGTTAAACGCTGTTAACTGTACGGAGGAATCATCGTCCATCGTGGACAAAACTTTTTTTTGTATCGAAACGAAGAATTTCATGTAACAAATGAATAAAAATGTATTGAAACAAGATGCACCTTTGGAAAGCGAAATTTGCACCCTTTATTAACCCTGAAATCTTTCGTCGGAGACGTACCGATTGGAAATGGAAGAAACTAGCCATCCTCGAGGTTGCGAATACCGTCTTTCGGAGAATCTCTCCTTTCTTTTCGTTTCCATCGTCGTCTCCCTGCTTTCGCTCCCTTTTTTTCTGCTGTTTGAGAAACGGGAAGGGTACGAACGTATATATACATATATGCGATTGGCTGTTACACGCATGCACACGCTTGACACACTCGTACACTGCATACACAGACGCGAACGAAGATAAGAAGAATTGTTAAAACGAGTGGAGATATACGAAGAAACTTACGACGACGATGATACATTGATAAACGAGTGAAAGAAAAGAAAAGGTGGACATTGGAACATTTTGTTATATCCGTACGTAGAATGGTGAAAGGTGTGTTGGAAGGAAGTTAAGAAAAAAAAAATGAAAAAAAAAAAAACGTATCGAATCTACAGTTAAATGTTTACGATAAAATTACGGGTAATTAAGAAGATTCTAGATTTTTTCTAACTAACCGATTCGTACGGCGGACTCGTGCCAATCCTCTAGATTTACGACCTAAAACGAGATATACAAATGAGACAAGAAGCTGTTATCCTGTATTAAGTCGGCTTGGAATATAAATATTTGATTATATACGTATTTATTGTGAGATCGTGTCTGTCTGATCGCGTGTGTCCGTATAATTAAAAAACGAAAAAAAAAGGTGGATCGTGTGATGATTGTACGCGTGAATGTGAAGCGAGTGTGAATACCACGTAGCGGCGAGATACGCAGATAATGAATTTGTTAAACGTAAGTTATTAACCATTGCGCGTGAGACGATGAATGGTAATTTTGAGTCGAACGAGGGGGCGAAGAGAGAAGGAGGCAATGAATGAGTGACAACGCAAAGAGCAACGAGCAAACGTACACAGATGCAGGAAAAAAATATTCGAGCGATATATTCACGGAGTAAATAAATTTCATTTTATAATTATCCGTTTTATTTTTCATTAGACGGGATAATTAATCCTATTTTTATTATTTCATTTCAAATTTATGACAGACATTTATTATAGTTACGCAGTGGAAATGGTACACTCGAGATCAAATCAGACTTACCCGGGAAAAACGGTCCCCTAATTTCTCACCCTTCCCCGTCGGCGTCTCGAGGAAGACTGACGGCGTGGGGGAAGGGGTCCCGTATACATAGGCCTGTGGTGGACCATCATAATTAATATTTATTTATTATTCATACTTCTCAGTTATATACTACATTTTATAATATTTAATAAATAAAAATTAGGTTATTTCGTTTCTAAATTATTTTTAATATTAATATTATCAAAATTAAAATCCTGAGAATTTTCTAAATTCCTATTTTCCCTGGGGAAATCTGGTTTGATCACGAGTACACACTTTAATATAATTTTTTATTTAAATATCCTATTCTGAATTATCGAAATAATTTCAATTCAAAAATATTTAACAATAATTCTAATAATTATTCTTTTTATCTGTGAATATATTATTACTCGAATAAACGTACTCATGTATCAGTATAAACATTGTCGAACCTCTTTCTGTTACTCGATCGCGTCTCGGTTTAATTCCCGCGAAGCGTCCCGGAAACTCTCGACCCGGAGACGCGCGTTCCGGAAGCGGAAGCGACGGACGTCGAACAGTCTCTTCCTCTCGAGAGTTTTCGCTCGCATTCGTTCGCGATTATAAATAATCTGTATATGTAAATGTATGTACATGTGTATGTACGTATCCGATTGACGGTGTCGAGTGGAATAAGCGATCGAAGGAACGAAATCGAGCGTCGAACTGCTCTCAGCTGGACGTTGTTTGATCGAGAGCCGGCACACGTCTGATCGAACGAAATTTTATCGACTCGTTCGATTATCATACGTTTCTTTCGGGGAAACGAAAATTCAGCCTTTTGTTTTTCACACCTGATCAACTTGCTAATTGGAGAACCACGCTTCGTCGCGGACAGATTTTCCTTCTGGATCATTTGATATTCGCGATCAGCCGATTTTTAGCACGTTCCTCGATTTAATGGGTCGCCAATGGACGCCTTTCGATATGAAAATTATGAATTCAATCGCGGAGAGAAAAAAAAAGAAATGTTCGAGGATATCGTCGAACCGGAACTACGTAATCGTTCGAGTTTTTGCCAACCGAAGGTTGCTGAATTGAATTTGAATAACCCGGTTGCGGGAAACCTAGCGGAATTATCGATTTTCAATTGGAAGTTTTTACGAATCGTTTGAATCTGCGAAAATTTTCTCTCCTAACACTTGTACGAATATCTTGATCCTGTCAAAACTTCAGGAAAAAAATCCGATTCTTAAATTTAAAAATTCACCCCTTAGAAAATTAGGATGAAAATTGGTGAATTGTTTAAGAAATTGCAAATATTTCTATTTTTCGAATGGAATTTTTGCGAAGCCTGGTTCACTGAGAAAAAAAGAAAACACTAAAAATTATCGACAGTGAAAAGTCAGCAAATATTTTCCCAATTTCGTTCTTTTCTGTCGAAAGCTGTAACTTTGGGAGCTAAGAAATATCGAGTATCGTTATTTGTCACGATCGTTCCAATCGGTTGTTGTTGCGTAACGATTGTACCAAAGAGACTCGAAATGAATATTAATATACATATGTACATAAAGAAGGGATGAAGGAGAAGGGTGAAAAGGTGGTGGAATATTGTGTGCTACGCCGAGGGCAAAGCTTGTTCGCTTGCACGCCAACGGGTGTGTGTTCGTTACAATTAACTAATATTGTACGTTCACGAAGATCCTTCGTCGTAATTGATATATTATCATTACTACTATACTTGCCATTATTGTTACCGCGACTGTTACAATTATTTATTATCGCTACTAACGCTATTATTATGATTATCGTTACGATCGCTCGGACGAACGAAAGGGGATGATAGAAATCGAGTGAAAAATCTTCGAAGATGAATTAACGGAGAATGAAAGAAATTTTGTTTTAAATAAACAACAACGAATCACTGAGAATCTTTGTTAACATATGCCGATCTCTCTGTCTATATATGTTTGTCTGTCTATCCGTTTGTCCGCCTGTCTGTCTGTCTGTCCGTTGCCTGTTGCTCGTGCGTCTGTGTCCAAAAAAGAAAAAAAAAAGAAAATGGGTGCTGTTCTCGTTACTGTGTTCGTGCGTTTCTTTCTCCAATTTTTCAGCGACAGCCCCTGCTACGGTTGACCACTTAACACCGTTTCGTTTGAAATCGTTGCAAATAACTTGTGCATCGCTGCGTATCAACGTTTTTTATACAAACATACGCAACGAATTTGATGGGTCATTTCATCGCATTAAAAAATGGGGAGTATCATTGGATGATACGCGGCGATGGTACACGTGGATATTTGCAATTAATGGATACCCATCGTTAAGGTTTCCAGGTGTAATTAGACGAAGAGTAGAAGGATACATTGATACTGATATTCAGTATCATATTTTTCAGTTATCGACTCCTATATAATAATTGACCCTTTTCCTAAAAAAATAAAAAATATAATAAATTGCGTTTCTTACATGATGATTTATAACTCTATTCGAAACAAAAAGTATTCGGGCTATGGAAGATAATTAGATTTTGTTATTTAACCCTTGAACAGCGGAGCCTGGGTCGATCGTGACCTAAACAAGGATATTAACCTAATTTTTAAATAAAAGAGTTTCATTTATTAGAAGAATATAAAGAAAATAAAATTAGGGCCTTCTCCATGGTCCGCCGTCCGAGGGTTAAGAAACGCGTTATATTTCTTAATTTTTTAGGAAAAGGATCGATCATTGCAGAGGGATCAATAACTGTATACGATAGCCTATATTTTATTTTACAAAATCAATTAGTTCTTAGATGAAAACGATAGAAAACTACACGCACATAAGGTACGGCAAAGGGTGTACACGTACCACAACGAACGTGTTAAGTGTGAGAAACGATGTGATGACAAAGCCCGAAGACTAGCAATCACTTCGAAGCCGATAATCGCGATCAATAGACAAACAATAGGAGGTTCTTTCAAGCAGGGGCTGCCGATCGAGCAACGTTTCAGTCAGCGAGCGATCAGGTCAATCATTTACCACCCTCGAACGAGCCTCACGAGCCCCCCATAGCCATTAACGCGCACGATACACTGTATACAGTTATCTTTTACGAAACCCTTTGTACATCAGATTCGAGGAGAACATCGTGTCTCGTCGGGGATATCCAATCGACTCGCTGGACGGTTCGTCTGATTAATACCGACAGGATTTAACGAGAATTATTGTTAATCCTTTTAAAAAGCATCGGAATTGTACGCTCGTTGTAATTATTGTCAGAAAGGTGCGCGTCATTAACAAGACAATTATTTATTTTAATTATTTGATAAATTAAATTTGAAATTATTTGATAAAATTATTATTTAGAATATCTTTTTTAATTTGGAATTAAATTTAAACAAGATATTTCTATGGAACTCTTTTTAAGAAAAATATTTCTTCTGACCCTTTAAGAGGGTTAATAACATTTTTAATTTGGAAATTGAAATCGTCGAACCGTCTAGCAATAATTTGGAAGCCCTTTTGAAGGCTCGCGAGGACTCGCCCATTCAATTCTGTGTACATAAAAACTCACTTCCGTCACTTTCTCGAACTTCCTCTCGTCGATCCACGTACACACGCTCGATCTCGTTCCAGTCGCCTCTGTTAACAAGAGGCAAAAAAAAAAAAAATGAAAAAAAAAGTCACTTAAATCCGTCTTACAATTCCTCAAGCGATTCCGCTGCTGGCGAATAGAGTAGTTCGAGGTGAAAGGGTTAAAACGAAGGGTTTGAAAGGTGTAAAGGGGACAGGGAGGTTTGCCTGGGATAGAAACAGAGACATTATGTGTAATATATTAATTACCTAATTAAAAGGGACGGAGGCAAATACTCTGATGAGACACACGCGAGGGTGCATACGTACATACACACATGCATATTATACATACATTACCTACACGAATTACATGAAACACACCTACACTGATACGCGAAACACTCACGTTATGTATGGATAAAAAATGAAAGAGGAAAACAGAAGAAACTAAACTAACCTATTTGTAAGCTAACGTCTACACTCTACACACAACTATCCACGTATGTAAAACGATTGAAATAAACGAGCGGTTAAAATTATTGTTTAAAAAATAATAAACGTATTGAAAAAAAAATGTATATACATTGGTATACGTTTTCGTTCGAGGGCAAGTTTCATTTTTTTTTTAATTTTTCAATTTTAATCCTTGAAAAAAAGTTACAAGGCAAAGGGTTGATTTGAAGACAATCAGAGGGTAAAAGGTGATAAGATTTAATTGCAATTTCTATGCATTAATTATTATTATTAATCGATGGAAGAGCAATTTCCAGCAGCTCGTCGAGTCGTTCATTTTTC